GCTGCCAGAGTTCTTCGTATTGTTATTGAAAGCTGTGTTTGAACTTTGGTTTTGTGGTTTCATAGTTTACAAAACAGGGAAAAGAAGTTTATGAACCACTCTCTATATAGAACTACAGAGAATGCTATCCATTTTGGCCACCGGATACTATCTATGTAGAAATTAACGTGCAACTATACAGGAGACTAATACTGTTGATTTACTACCCGTATCATTCACATTTACCCATGATCTTTCCATTTTTGCAACCGGGCGAAAGCATGATCAAAATAAGGTAGCGCTTGACGGGCAATGTTATGCGAGATTCAAGGAATGCAGCGGCCGGTGTGTATCATTTTATTGCTGATTGAAATATGGGGTTGATCTTTGCTTTTGTGGTTAAGATGTTTACAAACAGAAGTTTACGAACGGAATCGATGATTGGGCAGCTAATATAACTGACTTCGGAAAGGGCCACAAATTGGCCACGATTCCTGTTCATGGTATTCCGAACCCCTGAATACACGCCTTGTACCATAGTTTCCCTTTGGATTAGATTCAGAGTAAGAAACTTCTGTTTGTGTTATGACCTCTCTGTGGTTGCAAAGCTTACAAAAAGGAATTTCTGTGGGCGGCAAATTTTCAACCCCCCACCAATTTGCTTCAAATAGTGTTGAAAGTAATCTCCCTTCTCTTGTAATCACATTCTGACGTTGATCTATCAATTTAATTAACATGTGGTTGAAATACTGCTAGTTGAAATATCTATTTGTGGTTGTAAAGTTTACAAAAAGATGTTTACAAAAAGGAATTTCTGTGGGCGGCTAATTTTCGACCCTCCTCCAAATTGCTTCAAATCATATGGAAAGTAATCTCCCTTCTCCTGTCATCACATTCTGAGTTTGATCTATCGATTTAATTAACATGTGGTTGAAATACTGCTTGTTGAAATATCTATTTGTGGTTGAAAAGTTTACAAAAGAATGTTTACAAAAAGGAATTTCTGTGGGCGGCTAATTTTCAACCCTCCTCCAGTTTGCTTCAAATAGTGTTGAAAGTAATCTCCCTTCTCGTATCATCACATTCTGAGGTTGATCTATCGATTTAATTGACATGTGGTTGAAATACTGCTAGTTGAAATATCTGTTTGTGGTTGAAAAGTTTACAAAAAGAAGCTCTCAAATTGAAGTTTACAAACAGAATTCACAAACGGGAGTTTACAAACATAAGTTTACAAATATGATATTAGAGCCTGGCGAATTCCGGTCATCATAGTTTCCACTACCTACACCACATGACCCATACCCATTCGCATGTCTTTTACCCATTTATCTATTCAGTCACATTCTAGTTCCTTCCTTGATCCATTCATTAGGTCATTCAATCAGGCAGTCATTGTTTCATTCCTTGATTATTGTCTCCATCCTTCAATTCCATCCTATTTCGAGCTGCTTAATCCAACAAAGAGAAGCTGTCAGGGTTGGAAAGGTTGTACCATACCTTCCAGTATTCTGACAAAAAAGATCGACAAAGATGCAGTTAAAAGGTTATATTTGAACTCTGTTGGTGACAGATGGCTGGTTAGATGGAACAATACTAGATATAAGTGAAGATGGATGGATGGACGAAGGATGACGGAAGACAAATGAAGTATGGAATGTAGGATACAATGACTGACTTATTGAATGAATGAACTAAAGAATGAATGACACAAGGAGAAACTATCTGTGACAGGAATAAATTAAAGAATGGATAAAAGAATGAACAAGCAATGAATAGATGAATATGAGGCAAAAGTGGGAGACAGAACAACATTATAAATGACATAGCTAGTAGATGAATGAATGAAGGAAATGATTGACAGAAAGATGCGATAATGTGGAAAGAGATAATTAATGAAAGAAGAAAAGAAAAAGAAAAAGAAAAAGGGAAAAGAAGAAAACAAAAATTTTGAATTCTTGGGGATTTCCAGGTCTATTTATAGTTGAGATTTTTTTTGCAACCACAACAAATTTGCAACCTAATTTGCATAATTATCTACATACTGTACTATTATAGTCACACAACCACAAAAATGTTCATACACAAAATAAAACTCAGGCGTATTTGAAAAGAGGGGTAAATCTCTATCAAACCTAGGAACCACAAAAGACGATTCCTAATTTACTCTTTTTGTAAACGACACAAAATGCTAGTATTTCTATTAAGTTTCCTCAATGTCCTTTTGTTCATGATTTCATCAATATCTTCATTTGGACAAAATGAATGTATTATGAGGCGTATTCTAAGTGTACCATGCCAGAGTTTGTTAACCATTCTTGGCCCATTTTCCACTCGAGTAATTAGAAATGGTAAATATTTGGTGTTTCAACAGTAGAGTTTTCACTACAAATAGGTTTGACAATGATCTCCTACACTTGAATCTAATCATGTTATTACCCACATGACTAACATCTGATAATTTTTCCGAAGGCTTCTACAGCTACTAAGCACCTTTTATATATGAATTGGTTCCACAATATAGGTACATTCACTAGCATATGGAAAGTTCTTAGGTATATTTGATTGTTTTAAACCCAGCTGCTTCAGAAAGAATACAAAAATGGATTCCAAAAATGTATCGAGTATTGGAATATCTATTGGAGCTTTCTCTACAATTTTTGGAAACATGAGACAATAGTAAACGCCTTTTGATGCCTTGACGTGGTTTCCAGAACGTTTAGAAATGGAATTTAGAAATAGAATTTAGCGATAGAATCTAGAGTTAGAACTTAGAAGTTGTTTTAGAAATTGAATTTAGAAATTGAATTTACTTTCGAATAGCAAGAGTCGCTACTAATGAAGAATGCGTCAACTTTTATAGCTTTGGCTTCTATCTCAACGAAAATAGAGTTATTGCAATTCCGGATAATTTCTTTGGGATAGGGTTACTGGTTTTTTTTTTTTTCTTGTAATATTAAGGAAAAACTATATTATTATTTAAAAACTACATAGAAAACCTGATTCATATGAATCGGAATTCATTTAAAATGATGAATGTTTAGTGATGTTTAATATGAGGAATATTGCAATAATCTGCTTATATAAATTTATTAAATTGGTTCAGACAATGGGTTATTTTGAACAAAGTACACGACATTCTCTGCATATTCGCTTATCAATAAATTACAATTGATTTTGCGTCAATTAAGATGAATTTATTTTTTTGCAACTTTAAACTTTTTAAGAAAAAAAAGGAATGAAATTTTCGCAATCCACGTGTGTATTTTCTACGCCGCTTATTTCGATTCTCAAAAATAAATGATGTTATTTTTTTTTTTTTTATTTTTGGATTGGAATACGCAATTGATATACATTGCTTAAATGACATCATTTGATCTAGACCACGAGAAACCACAACCAACGTAGCATGTTGTTAACCTAACCAAGATTATACCAAGCCAAACCAACCTAGGAAAATATCCTTTTAAAGACCTTCAAGTGTATACCCATGGGAGGCGTTTGCATATCTAAAGTTGTATTTCAAAATGAGATGGTGTGTTTGATATCATTTAATAATTTGAAATTTTCAAACAGTTACTCCCTCACCTGTAATTTAATTGCTTCTTTCCTCCTCACCTCTTTCCTGAAGTATGTATGACCCTTGGGGCTTATCAAATTCTCTTGTGCGATTTTTCCGAGATAAGCAAATGTATGCATCATTTGCATGGTTTACACAGCCACTTCTTAGTATTGTATCTGTGTCATGTGTATTATAGAAGATAAAGTAAATTGGATCCCCCCCCGGGTGATGTGTTGAACACAGTAAATTTTTTACAGCCATTTTTTTTAATTAATTTGAATTTAATTACGTAAATAAATAAAAAAAGATTAAAATTATAAAATGTCAACCACATAATCAGTTTGTTGAATCATTTTTAATTTTTCTTTTTTTTAAAGATCCCAGCGTATATTTAAATTATTTAAACCCCCTTTTTTTTTCTTGGATTCTATAGCTACATTCACATAACAAAACACTTTAACAACAATCAACCACCACAAACAAACACTCACTCATTAACAACTACTTTTACATATAAATAAATTTTCATACATGTCCAATCTACTAAATAATCCTGTTGAATCATTATCTTTATTTGATATTTCATTCCTTACTTTGGAAGCAGTCTTAGAAGTTGTTATAATATGTTTTGCGGGTTTTTTTGCTGCCAAAACCGGATTATTAAATATTCAAGGGCAAAAAGTAATTAGTGCTTTAAATGTTGATTTATTCACTCCTTGTCTTGTTTTTTCCAAATTAGCATCTTCATTATCAATTTCTAAAATTATAGACATTGGAGTTATTCCTATCTTTTATGCCGTATCAACTGGTATTGCTTTTAGTTGTTCAAGAATTACTGCATATTTATTATCTTTAAATGAACCAGAATCTGATTTTGTAACTGCAATGGCAGTATTTGGTAATTCTAATTCTTTGCCAGTTTCATTGACTTTATCTTTGGCTTATACATTACCTGATTTATTATGGGATGATATTAAGAATGATAATAATGATAAAGTTGCTGGAAGAGGGATTTTATATTTACTTATTTTTCAACAATTGGGTCAAGTTTTAAGATGGTCGTGGGGGTTTAATACATTATTAAGAAGAAGATCTCAAGTGGAATTAAATACATATTATACAAAACATGGAGCACAAATCCATATGACTAACATAGATGAAGAAACCAGTCTTTTAGCCAACCAAGAAAGAGACGAAGACGCATTCTACATTGACCAACAACAACCTTCAAATGAATCCATTATTTCCTCAATTGAAAATCAAAATGTTGCTACTACTGATAATTCGCCTTGGTATTCAAAAATTGTCCAAATCAAACCAATAGCTCAATTCCTTGCCTTTATGAATCCTCCATTATATGCCATGTTAATCAGTGTTGTAGTTGCTTCAGTGCCATATCTTAAAGACATGTTCTTCACCAATACAGATTCATTTGTTCATAATACCCTTACAAATGCAATTATTGGTTTAGGTAGTGTTTCAATTCCATTAATTTTAATCGTTCTTGGTTCCAATTTATACCCATCTCAAGATCTCCCACCTGCTTCAAAACATTATACAAGAATCTTAATTGGTTCATTATTATCGAGAATGATCTTACCTTCAATAATATTACTTCCAATAATTGCCCTTTGTGTTAAATATATAAATATTTCAGTATTGGATGATCCAATTTTCTTGATTGTTGCATTTATTTTAACGGTAAGTCCTCCAGCTATTCAATTATCTCAAATCAGTCAATTGAATGAGGTTTATCAAAAAGAAATGGCCGGTGTTTTGTTTTGGGGTTATGTTGTTTTCACAATACCTAGTACGATTTTCATTGTTGTTATGAGTTTAGAAGTGTTGGATTGGGCAAAGAAAGGTTAAGGGGGGGAGCTACATATTTGCGTACTTTTTGTTTGATTGTTAAAAGAATTCCTGTTCTGCAACCTGTTTGTATTCTTATTTGTTGGATTGGGATTTCTGTATTAAGTTTATATATATATTATATTCTAAAGTATGTGTAGTTTTTAATAGAATGATGTATTTGCATTGAACCTTAATCTCCTAGTTTGTTTTAGGAACATTGCTACATGGATGAACAATATTTAGCAATCCAACGGTAGTGACAGATTATTGTATCGTTTTGAGACTCGTCAGGGTATCAAATTTGTCAATATAGAGTCCACTGTATATTTTGTTCAAAGATTGTGGAAATGAACTGCCGGCTTAAAGTTCTCTTTAAAGTAAAGATAACGCCACAGGGTACACATCTGTAGAGAATAGAGATTAAGAGACGGCTATGCGTGCGCTGCCAATAACTCCAACCGTGACCTCCCTATCCCACAGCCCCCAAGTTTCCAAAGTTGTCTGGAAACAAAAAGGGTCATGATCCTTCGCCTGAGAAGTATCAAGTCTGTTCTAACCAACGCATTCCTGCTACAAGCAGTAGACAACCTTTTCAATGGGCAAAGAGCAATTTAACATTTCTATGCATCATCAAAAACAAGTTGTTGTTGTCAATTTTCAAAGAAGGAGAATATGTTTAAGCTTTTCCATTCCAAAAAGTAAAGACATAACCGTATGAAAATGACCCTGGGAAATATTGATAATTGCGATCCAATGAGCAAAAATCAACGGAAATTATTATAGCTTGTACTCCGAATAATTTTTGGCGAGTTTTTTGGCAATAAATTTAAAAGATATTTTTTTAGACTTGAAAGATTAGTTAAAAAATAATGTAAAATTAAAAAATATTATATCCAAAAAATAAAATATTTTTTACTTTTTTTTATTTTGCAATTTGTTTTTGAGATTTCGGTACAATATGTTGTACCAGAAAGAACTAGTTTCAGAAGGGCATGGCATTCTAACAGTCGAATAATAGCTTCTTGAAATGTGGAATGAGAGGACCGATACCCAACAAGTACACAATCATTTTTTATTCAATAGCAAACTCTATTTATCCCATTTTGATGCCTGAATATTAAGTCGAAGGCTGGTTATAAGTCCTCAGAAACGATTGTAAGAGGTATACAGGCATGGATTGAAAGAAGAATAGTTCAGTTGGACTCAAAATAGGAAGCTTAAACTATCCTTGACGCTTGAGAAGCAAAAATAGATTCCCCACTTATGATGTCTTCAAAGTGGCTGGTCCAAACCCGAAAAGAGAATTGGCGCACCTACCTAGACTAAAACTTGTCGAATAGTAATTAGATAATGCAGTGAATTAGAAGTGATACAGTTGTGTGAGCCAAATCAGTCGTCTATAAGTGATATGTAGCAAGACTAAACAAAATTGTTTCTTTTTTCAAAAACTTTATCTCCCATTATTATGTTTATTTAGTTGTTTTAACTTCTGTTAATTATAATCATGAGGTGCTGGCCGTGGCAATAAATATTCTCATTGTGGATTAACTCTCATACCTTTATTGACAACGGTAACAAGTTTGCAGAACCGCGGCAGGTTTCACGTCCCCACTTTTGACAGTGATTTTGACTGCCATTGTTTCGGACTTGTAAATTGACGTAACACCGAACGAACAATGGAACAATATTGTTCATTAGTCATCATGCGATCTTGTTCTAGCTTGGGTTTTATTCCATTTATAGAAGCATGCGAACAAACTCTTTTTGGATACATGGGTTCAAATACATATGAATTATATACCTATAAGAAGTATTCATTACCAAGATATTGAGATTTAAAAGAAACTTGATTAAATCGAGGTGGATTTGTTGATCGGATTTATAACAAAGCAGCCGAACAAATCTCAAAACAATAGCTAGTTAGAGAACAATTAAAACATGATTCAAAAAGGCAGACCACTTTTGGTGGCTGATTGGATTGATAATAGAAACTGAATAGGGTCTTTTGGTTAATATAATAAAAGCTTTCTCGCTTCATGTTTCGTTGAGCTAAAAGTTGAAAATTGACAATTCGCTTGCCATCTATGTCAAATTTGAAGGTACTTTAGAAATTAATAAACTACATGGTATCGAAAGAAGAAATAGTGACAAACATAAGGTTCAAATGGACTTAGGACCCAACAATATTGATATTGAATAATTTTATTAATACATATACCCGTAAAACAGGCTTGTAGATACTGTGGTTTTTTCAGTAATTAATTAATTAATTTAAATATTTGCGCCTCGGGGTCCGCCTTTAAACTGCCGAAAATGGAACATTAATTATATTTTATTTTATTTACATGTACATAATATCATTATATTCCAAATATAAGACTTGTCGTAATAATGCTTCAATTTTCCTAGTAAAGGCATACCTTTTTTTTGGTGGTTGTTCAATGTAAAGGGTCTGATAAAAGAAGAGCCGGGGCACATAGTTTATTCATATTTGATTTTTTGTTTTTCCTTGAAAATTAATATTTTTTAAATTATAATTATTTTATAAGGTGGGGTGGAAAAAAATAAAAAAATAAATGTGTCTGTTTTTGGGTTTAGTTTCTTCTCACTAAAAAATTTTATTTAATTTACCCATTTTTACATAGAGTCATACCTTTTTTTTTTCTTAGTGCAAAATGGCAGATAAGTCGCGATGGATGGAGAATCATCATCATCAATTCGTTAATTACTTTTTTTCTTGGGGGGGGCACCACCATCTCTCTCCCTTCCAAATCGTAATCAAGCGTTTCTCCCCAATCAAGACAACTTGACACAATTTATATAAGCCACTTAAGAATAAGTTAAATTAAATAGAATTCTGTTTATTGTTTTAATAAAAGTACAAAGAGAGAACAAAGTAGTAACAAATCCGGAAAAGAGAAAAAAAGCCAAATGGATTTAGAGAGAGGGTTCAATATTTTTCCCTTATTAAAATATAAAGATTTTAAATTTCGTTCCAGAGCTTTTTTTTTTCTTCGCCTATAATTCTTGGATCAAAATCACTAGGACCTAACAATCTTAACTACGTAGTTTATTACAACAACATTATACTTATACCTACTAGCTGGCGGCTAATAATATAACATTATCGCAAAAGAACGCAAAATATGGATACATCAGCGGAATCAAATATCCGCCGTATCAATACCAATTCATATCCATCAAATACTGAAGATGATAATTTGCATGCACCAGAAGTAAGTGAATCCACTTCAGGTGGGTCTCCATCCAGCCCAGGAGGACAAACAATAAATATGAGTGACATGTCATATTCAAATACTGTATATGCAAACAAGTCTCCTCTAGACTCCAATAATAATAGTAATGGAAGTAATGCAACTCCAATGGGAATTAATATGGCAGCAACTTCATTAGGTGAAAAAGCCAAGCGTAGAAAACATAAAAATTCTAAATTAGGTTGTCCAAATTGTAAAAAAAGACGGGTGAAATGTTCTGAAGATTTACCTTCATGTCTTAATTGTAGAAAACATAAAGTTAAATGTGGATATTTGGATTATACTGAAGATCAATTAAATGAATTGCGTCAAATGAAATTACAAAATGAAGTTGATGAACTTACATTAAATGCTAATAATAATACTGGTGCCATAGTTAATCCTAATGAATACAAGGAATCCCGAATGGACTCCACTGTGAAAAAGCAAGTTAAGATAATACCAAGGATACCGATAGCAGAAAAGGAACATCATCAGCTGAAAGTAGCTAGTAAGCCTCATCGTTCATATCAGTCAATCACTCAGAATTTTGATAATTTATTGAGTGATGAATCACATGATAATGAATTACCAATCATCTATCCAATCTATTCTATCAAGAAGAGTAATAGTCTCAACAATACCGATCAACAAATACGACAAGAGACAACTCAACCGGTACCGACATCAAATCCACCATCATCATTACAGCCTAGTAGTCAACCACTTCTCCCGCCTTCAAATCCATATTGGAATCTATCAGAATTCAATCTTGAAAAGACTAAACCATTGCCAGGGGCAATCATCATTCCAACCAAATTTATTCATAAACCTCGTCCCAATATTAATCATTTACAACAATTAAAATCCATGGTTGAAGCAGCAGGACCTTCAATTCAACATGGAACATTTTCATTACCTCAAATTCGACATGTTTATAGAACATGGCTTACATCATTTGTTTATCAAGCATATACTTCAGAATTAATGTTTAATTGTTTACTTAATTTAACTACCAATTATTTAATCTCGAATTGTTTTCATGAAAAATATCGAAATTTAATTAAATTGGGCCAGAATCATCAATCTGGGGCAATACAATTATCAAATATTAGATCAATATGTATTGTGAAATCATTTAAACATTATGCAAAGGTTATTAAAGATTTAAGAAGAATGTTGAATACTAATGAAGATCCTGATTTAGTTGGATCTGTTTCATATATTCTTAGTTTAATGTCAATTTATGATCCTGAAGCAACTTTAAATTCAATAAATTGTTTTCGAGATGGATTATTTAGTATTTTAAATTATAATAATAATTCATTAGTTAAAGAAGGTATTACCCCCAATTTAATTACAGTTCATCTAAAACTTATGACAAATATTGTTAGATCAATTTATTTACCAAGTTTTAATCCGGGGTTTTTAAATGAATTTAGACAAATGTTAATTAGATTTGGTGAATTAATAACTTCAAGTATTGAATTACAATCTCAACGATATGGGAATGAAGCTCATAATAATGAATATTTCACCTTTCTTAAATTAAAATTTGATGATTTAATGAATTTTACAAATGATACAATTAATAATTTTATCCCCAATGTTACGGCCAATATGTCAAATTTACATGTTCAACAAGAATTATTATATGATATGATTTATAGATGGGTAAGATTATTTCCAGCCAGATTAATTGCAGTAAGACAATCTAATGATCCATTTGAACAAGTATTATATTTATTTTATAAAGTATTCAAGAAATCTTTATATGCTATATTCCCCCAAGTTAAATTTTATTTTCTTCGAGATTTTGATAGTCCCTTGATGTTGGATGTATTTGCTGGTGATAAAGATTTGGATATATTTTATCATTGGCTAGATAATCCTATTAATTGTAATATTTCCCACGAGATTTATTCACCAATGATACCAGAATTAAAACATATGTCATCATATCTTATAAGAATTATTACCTTTTTCCAAATGAGACTTTATTTATTATATAGATTTATGGTTTATGAACCAATTGCTAAAGAAAAGTTTCCAATTGATAATGTTAAAGAATGGAGAGAGAAAATTTATGATGTTGAATTGACAAGATCTGAATTTAATGAAGTTATTGGATTATCAGAAGTTCAAATTACTTCATTTTTAACTCAATATATTAAAAAGGATAATTATCCTTCGATAANCTAAAGAAAAGTTTCCAATTGATAATGTTAAAGAATGGAGAGAGAAAATTTATGATGTTGAATTGACAAGATCTGAATTTAATGAAGTTATTGGATTATCAGAAGTTCAAATTACTTCCTTTTTAACTCAATATATTAAAAAGGATAATTATCCTTCGATAACAAATGATGTTAAAAATGGTAGATATCATGATTTAGATGATGATGATATTAATCTAGATATTGATTTTTCATCATTACAACCAAGTGGATTATTAGCAGGTGATTATAATATCATGACCCATATGTGATTTATTACATAAGCTATTTGCATGACATTTTATAGAGATTTTATTTAAGACTGGAGAGAATTTTAAATAGAAATAAATTAATTCATTTGATTTCATTTCATTGATACTTAAATCTATAATTAGGCGAAATTCATTGCATTGTTTGAATTTGATTCTTGGCATTTGATTTCAACAATGTTAACAAATCAACTTACAATATTTTGAAGTGAATACGTGATTTAGCCTTTCTATGTATCTATCTCTCTGACAAGACCAAATGTAGCTTATAAAGATCAAGAAAAGTTTAATTTGCCTTTTTCTATAAATCTTGACATTTAAAATAATTATCCAGCAATTTTTCCTCTTGTTACGTGAATTGGTTGCAAAAAAAACATTGCATGTAAAAAAAAAATATTTTCTCCTTTCAAAAAAGTCGTGTAAAATGAAACAATTTTTCGTTCTCTCTTTTCTTTTTTTTTTTTTCTGATTTTCTGTCGTTCCTCTCACACTCATTTTCTCCTCCGCCAACAACAAAATTCAACAAACTCACCAAACAGCCAAAAAACATTTTTTAATAAGGTTTGTTAGCAACAGAACACACACTTATTTCATTAATACCATTTAGCACTCAAAGTTGTAAACCACACGCCCCTTGTACAACTTAATAGGAACTAATAATTGTAATACAAACCATCCCCCCCTTATACAGTATTGCCTCCCCTCGATAGACTGATTTTATTTTATTAATATCAATAGACATACATATATCCACACATTTCAATTCTTTATTACTAGACAACACACATAACAACAATGGCTGATAATACAGACGACTATTCATACGATTACGAATACTTATACAAGATTGTCCTTATTGGTGATTCAGGCGTTGGTAAATCCAATTTATTATCACGTTTCACCCGTAATGAATTCAATTTAGAATCTCGATCAACTATTGGAGTAGAATTTGCTACCCGTACATTAGAAATTGATGGTAAGAGAGTCAAAGCACAAATCTGGGATACTGCCGGACAAGAAAGATATCGTGCTATTACTAGTGCTTATTATCGTGGTGCTGTTGGTGCATTAATTGTTTATGATATTGCTAAGACTGAAAGTTATGAAAGTGTAAGTAGATGGCTTAAAGAATTGAAAGAACATGCTGATTCTAATATTGTTATTGAATTGGTTGGGAATAAATCTGATTTAGATCATTTAAGAGCAGTACCAACTGAAGAAGCTAGGAATTTTGCTCAAGAAAATAATTTATTATTTACTGAAGCAAGTGCTTTAAGTTCGGATAATGTTGATTTATCATTTCATCAATTATTAAAGAATATTTATGAAATGATTTCAAAACATCAATTGGATACTAATGAACAAGGAGGAATAAACAAACCAACAACTGGAGGTCCAACTATTTCATTAACACCTGCTCCCCAAGAAAGAAAGAATAAGAATGCCGGTGGATGTTGTTAGACAGAGTAGTAATAGCAGTAATTTAATTAGTAATAATAATAGTATCAGCGTTTTATACAATTATGTATTCTCCCCGGTAAAAATTTATACAGTAATTCTATCTAAGCAATCTTCTTAAGTCTTCCTTTAACACTCACGGGAGTTTTTAAAGGTCGACTAGTCCCCGTTCCTTTATTCACAACACCCAATCTACTACCAACAGAAGTTAATGGAGCACTCTCTATAACAAGACTAACAATTTGATCTCCTCTTAATATAATCAACCCAAGACTTCGTTTATCCAACGTTGGTTTAATTTCAGTTGGATTATTTGATTTTTTTAACTCTGAATATGATTTTTTGGTAATTCTACTTTCAATAGTATCGGATAATACTAAATTAAGATGTTTATCAAATGCTAATAATGTGCCTATATATGATCGATTATCAATTGTTGATATCTTGATTCGATAATTTATTAAATCTGACATTTTGGTTTTTTTGGTTATTGAAATTGAATTAGACTAAAAATATGTGTTAGTATGATTTCTAGGAAAACATCATGTACTCCATATACATACCATTGCTATAGTAGGTTATTATACTTATCTTAGATAGATAATGGCAAGTCTTCTCTTGTTCATCATCACTCTGATTTTTTCATTAGGAACAGTAATCCAGGTCGTGTAAAATTTCCAAATATCAAGATTGTCTGGCTGGCTGGCTGGCTGCCAAGGGCAAACAAAATAAACAACAAAACCCTGGATTTAAAATTATTCAACTGCTTAATATTCATCAATTGGGGTCCATAAATATATTAAACCAATGTCAGAAGAACACAAGGAAGAAGCCGTAGCAATCTCCAAACCAGAAGAAGTAGCCGAAGAAGAAAAAGTTTCTGAATCCAAGGAAGAAGCTACTGGTGAAGATACTAAGAAACGTGCTGCTACTGAACCAGAACTGGAATCTGGCGATAAATCAAGCAAGAAAAAGAAGAGAAGAAGAAGACAATATGAAGATGATGTTCCTCCAGAATCTGCCGAGAAGGAGCAAGGCGAGGAAGATGACGAAGAGGAAGAAGATGGTGATTATGATGATGATAAATTAGCAGAAGATGAAGAAGAAGATGATTTATTAGAGATTGATGAGTCTAATATTATTACTACTGGTCGTAGAACTAGAGGTAAAGTCATTGATTTTGCCGAAGCTGCTAAAAAATTGGATAGAGAACAAGGTGTTCTTAATGAAGAAGATGAAGACGAAGAGGAGGAAGAAGAATTTAAGGAAGCAACCAAATAGGGGTTGTAACCCAAATATGTATCATATGTAATAACATAGTAAATTGAATAGAAAATTATACACACAGATAACTTTATAAATGTCTTAATCATATTTCTATCACTTCTTTTTGATCTGTATGAGAGGAACTATGGCTACAACAATAGTATTAGGTTCATAAGAAAGGATCGTTATCATTTATTTAATTAAACAATGATTCTTCTCTATAAAAAATAAGGAAAACACTAAATATATATTAAACTAATAATCAGGTTTTCAATTAAAACAAAAAAAGTCTCACATACTTTTTCATCACCATTCATTTTCAAAAGATACCAAGAGTATCAATTAAATCAAATAAAATCACCAAACTCTAAAAAAAAAAAAACCAAAAACTAAGCAAAGTGATAAATTAATATTTGATTGTATTTGAAATGGGGACCCGTTCCCGTTAGTCAAGCTTGTAGCTTTATAACAAGAGACAACATAGGAAAAAGACTTTAGATTATTGTCGTTGTTAAGTTCTTTTTTTTTGGAGGATTTTAAAATAAAATTTTTCAAATTTTTTTTGGGGTATTTTTATAAATTAATTAAATTAAAATTGTATACTAACAGCAGCAATAGTATCAGCATCAGTAGTAGTATAACGGAACACTTTAAATTGACTTGATCTTTGTCAATAAGCGGGCGAAACAAGGAAAATAGCAAAAACGGGGGGGACGGTTGGGGAAAATAATAATAAAAAAAACCCACAACTCTATCAACTCTATAATAATAAACTTTTTCAATTTAAAGAAAGGATATGCTTTCTTTAAAAACAATTAATAAAAATAAAAAAACTAAAACCATATCTCTGTTAACATGTTGCCATATAATAAGGGTTTGCATATCCTACAAATCCATTTCCACCCGGAAATCCAATCATACTAGGAGGATATTGTTGACTTTGAATATGACTCATTGGAACATGAGCAATTGGTGCACCAACATATTGAACTGCAGGATCATTGAATTGAGAATTATAATTATTCCAAACTGGTTGTGGAGGTTGTGGCGCTTGTGATGACCAGATATTATCATGACGGTGATCATACTTGATTGGGGATGTGATTATTGGTGACGAATGTGGATAATTATAATATGAAGATGTTGATTGTTCATGACTATAATAAATTGGGGATGATGGGATTGATGATCTATAAGTTTGTACTGGAGATGATGAATTACCAGCATACTTAATTGGACTAGATGGAATATTATTTGACACAATTGGTGTAGTAGTTGCTCTTGTTGAAATTGGAGTACAAGAAGATGAATTTCCATATTTATCTAACCAAGTCTTCCAACATTCTTCCAAAGTTAAAATATTAGATTCAAAATTAACAACATTTAAAGACCATTTGACATCTTCTAACCAATCCTTTTCTAATTTATTCAAAACTTTCAAATCTAATCCAGTAGCTCCACACCAAGATTTATTAGTAAATGTATTATCATCATTAAATTTATTAGCTAAAACTAATGAAACAATTAAATGATTAAAAATTTCATGTTCATTTAATAAACCTAATTTTGCAGCCGAAAATCGTTGATTCATATATTCTAAAGCAATAACAATTGTAGATTTTGGTAATCTGGTAGCAAATAAAACTGAAACAATTAAACTTTCAAATTCTTTAGTGGGATTTCTTGATTGTTTCAACATTCCAAATGAACACCAACTTAAAAATGTAGACATGGTATTTAAATCATACTCCAAAACGGAATTAATACCTCCATTAACAGCAGGCTCTTGTTCAACAGGTTCAATTTGTGCTTGGGGAGGTTGCTGTTGATGGTGGTGGTGGTGGTTGATCACAGGAGTGAAACGAGTCATATGTTGGGGTTGTTGTTGATAAGCATATGGTTGTTGATACATAGACTGAGATGGTCTATGATGAAAGTATCCAGAAGTAGTAGAGTTGGATGTAGTAGTAGTAGTAGTAGAAGAATTATTGTATTGTTGTGGCGGCAAGTAGCTAAAAGAAGCTGCTGCTCTATGACCAGCAGTACCTAATCCTTGATGATATTGTTGATGAACTTGGTACATGATTGTTGTTCTTCTTTAATCTCTTCTCTTGACAGGTAGTAGTAGTAATAGTTGTGTTTTTAATTAAAAACACTAATGGATATATAAGAACCGTAAAAAGATTTTAACGAAAACTTAATGAAAAGCTCGTTAATAAAATATTCAGCAAAAAAGGTAAGTGGTGGTTGGTAGTTCTTGTTGTTGTTGCAATAAAGCAGACACTAAGTTGAATAAACTAAAACTTCACAGTAGTTGGGGGATGATAAATTAATATATCCTTTTGATATGACACTTATTAAACGACCTTTCAAATAAAAAAAAAGGTGGGAAATTAATAAGTAGTAGTAGTGGATTGAAGGGGTGTGGTTGGATGGAAGAGTGACTTTCTGTGGTTAGTTACCTAAGGTGTCTTTACAATATAAATAAAAAAAATGAATGTATGTAAGTGTGTGATAAGCACTTTTTGTTTTTGCTGATTGTGATTCCTTTATATGTGGTGGTTGTTATGTAAGAAAGAAACAAAAAGGGAAAAAGGACAAAAATTTTTTTTTGATTAATAAATTGATTGATGGGTAGTTTTGTGTGTATGTGTCAATTTTTATACAGTATGTGTAAAATGATTCCAAAAAAAATTTTTCTCTTTCTCTCTCCCTTATTTTTATTTTTTAATTAAAGTTTTTTTAATAAAAAATTAAAAAAAATTAACTTTCTTTTTTATCCAAGTGTTTTTTTTTTCTTGAATGTTTCCAACTATTGGTTTGGATAGTGAATTAATGGATGGGTGACCAACTGACTAAAAATTTACCTATTAGTTTTCCTCTTAATAAGGGGAATATATATATCTATTAGGTAAAATTTATTAAATGAATGAGAGAGATGGTTAAGTCTAAAGAAGAAAAGAAAGAAAGAGACTGAAAAGGTGGGAAACGAAAAAAAAATTTTCATATTCTAAAACAATTTTTTTTTTTGGTGAACACAAAAATGACAAGTGTCGTGTAAAATGGTTCAAACACCACGAGCCATTTTTTTTTTTTTTTGCTCTCGGGAAGTTTACTTTCCATTGTTTTACCAACCAGTAAAGCAAAAATGGTTCAATAAATCATGTGCAGGCCAATATTGCTATCGGCGCAGATTACTCATTTAGGAATTACTATTGTACAAAGTCGCAATAATTAGTAACGAATTTTTTTATTGTATCACTCATACATTACTGTCTCTTGCGACCATAAAATCAGCTTGCTGAATTTATGACATCATTCAGGGTAGACAGCTACATATATCTACACTTTTATTAAAAAGCAATCATGCCAGTTTCTGTAGCATATGTGCATATCATCTCCTCTTATTCCACCGTTGTGTCATTCACTCACCTCCTTTAGCAGTTCTCTGTTACATAGTTGCCAGACTTCAATATAAAAAAGAAATTAATTTACTTTTTTTAGCAATCCCGGTTATTTTTCTTTTTTATTCACCTCGTATGTCAGACTAAAAAAGATCATGCACGTGATTTCTCAAGGTCTAGAACCCTCCACCCATTTTGTCAGAACCCTAGTTTGCTTGAAACCCAAAATAACAAGGGTAAATCATGTTCACAGTTCCATAACACTCTTCACATGGTTAAGGAACCTATTTTCTTTCTAGAATCATATCTAGAAAATATTCTTTGGGGATAGTAGTCTGGTAGTTACGGAGTTCCTTCAGCATTCTTATCAGAAAGTACTTTTTTTTTTTTTCTGATACAACCGTACTTAATTAATTAACGACTTCCACCAATATCCGAAAAAAAAAAATAACAATCAGAAAGGGAAACGAATCATCCACTTGACCCGCTTATTTCCAGTTGGCCCGAGGAAGGAATTGCAATCTAATGGGGTTATTATCTTTGTAAAGCTATGCAATTACAAGTGAATCGTTTCATAAAAATGCAGTTATTGGAGAATTGATATGGATTACTTCTCTTGAATCAATACAAGACACGAACCCTACTAAACTCAAATATGAAGCCAACAGAAAAAGGTAAGTATTATTATGTACTAATCGTTTCCATATAGTAAAACTCCACGCATGATCGACAGATTTCAGTCAGAAATTTGTAGTCTTCTGGTATCAAAGTAATCAAATAGACAAATAGTAGCCTCGCAACAAAAAAGTTCATAAGCACATTGGTGGTTGCAAAGTTTACAGTTTGTACGGACTCATACAATCAGATCTTTACAATCGTTTGTATAAGAACGGTTTTAGATGGTGTGTACAAGAAGCGCCCTGGTATCTAGATGTTTAACTCGTGTTAATTTCAGTGTCCATCCTTCATACTTGTTCGCCTAACTATGGGGGTCAACATCTGGAATTTACTTGAAAAATAGTCTTTTCCGTTATGGTATCTTGATAGAATATCAACCATAAATGCTTTTATTCTTCCGAGTAGTTGATATATGACGAGTTCGCACCTAGAACCTCGAGAACTCCAACCACTCTAGCTGGCAGAATTATCATCTTGACCTGAAGTATCGAAAAAACGATTATATAGGTCAACTTGTCCATTACAAAGATGCCAATTTTTCAAGATTGTGATTATTGCAAATATCTCTTTCTGCGTACCAGAATAACGGCTTTGGGTTGGATTCAATTTGAATCAGTCCCAATCTCTTTTGTTTCATTCAAATTGAAAACAACCAAAATCCGGTGTTCTGCCATGGAGAAATAGTTACTTGTTAAAATCACAATTTTTGAAAAGTATGATCGAGGGATGGATAAAGACCACACATTGACAATGCAAATATGTGAAGCTGTTTGATATTACTTGAGAGTTGTTCAACCAAAGGATCAAAAGGTTTAGCTTAAGTCGGTAACACAGGGTATCCTCCATATTCTTCCACAGAGAAACAGTTCCTGTGATCTGGTGGACCAGATTTGTATATCATTAAAGCATCTTTCTCCGAATCAGCCCGACGCTGCTGTTGATTGTGGACAACCATTTTCAGAGTGCAAACTGTAATTTTACCGGATATGTATCATTTGATATTGCTTCCTTATAATGGGGGCTTTTTTGGACAACCACCTCACCTGTGATCTTTTGGAAGGAGACGAACAAGAAGGAATTACTGGAACTATACCATAAATCGAATAATTGGGGGCTTATAGTGAACGGAAGTCGGGTTGTGAATAATACCTATGTATATTCTGAGTAAACGTATTAACATAAACTGGAGAGAAAAGGTATATAAAAGATTCCGGTAAATCTAAACGATCGTCTAATAACGAACGTCGTTGGAAAACTATTCTCTTACGGAAAGCACATAACCATCAGGGCATTTGGCCTGTCGGTTACAACAATTTCTTTTCAATTTAAATGAATAGAGTTATAAATCTCTATTAACTGTATATATAACTTTTTTTAGTGTATCTTATTAGTAGTATGGTAAATAGTTAGTACATTATTGTTGGGAGAAAAAAAATAAATTTGCAGCCAATTCTCTCCAAAAATTAGTATCTACACACCTGATCACCATGGATACTTGATTTTTGTGAACATACACTTCACTTATTATTCGAATCTGATCAAATTGAAATGCAATTTCTATTACCCATCATAACAATCATGGTTACATGATGTCCAATGTTATATAATATGACCACAAGACAAGAGCGGGATGAGTTTGGGTTGGAATCAGTTGCTCTTGTTAATCTCTTCTTGAGAATCAGTTCAATTGTCGATTCATTCTCTTGAGATGGCTTTCAAAATTAGTCAATGAGACTCTCTTGGGAAGATTTTCATCTAATAAATCAACTATATATATAGTAACTTTGAAAGAGGTAATAAAAGTCGGGCCCCGAAGGAATTTAATTTTCTTTGAAACTAATTGTCTTTCCTAATTGGGACGACCTACCAAATAAAAAAGGTAAACAAAAAAAATACAATGTTTACATTTCGTTGTTTACAAAGAAAAATCTTTTCAATAGACTTTACAAATTCACAACCCATTTGACTTACTTACTTCAACTGAATTCAAGTATCAATGACTTCATCAATTCCCCTTTACTTAAAGATAAAGGGTTGTTCCAATAACTCCAATAAGATTGATGGAGAACAACAACCAGAATTCAAACAAACTTCATCAACAACCATTGAGTTTAACGAAAAACCATATGAATTCAACAAGATCTATTCATCAGAAACCAAAGAATATCCAGAATTAATCCAGAATAAGACATCATGTATCATTTTGTTAGGTCCTACTGACAGTGGAAAGACCACCATGTTGAAAGAATTAGTTTTCAAAAAAGTTAAATCACTTCAAGGTCTGACTTTTATTACATCGTTTGAAGTCACCAATAATAAATATATACTTGATTTATTAGATGAAAACTCTCGCAAGAGAGTACCATTGGCTAATTTCGAAAGCCATCTCAAGAGACAAAAAGTTAATGAAACGACAATTGAACTGATTCTCAAGAAGAGATTAACAAGAGCAACTGATTCCAACCCAAACTCATCCCGCTCTTGTCTTGTGGTCACATTATATAACATGGGTCATCATGTTACCATGATTGATATGATGGGTAATGAAAAGTCAACTGGTATGTCTAATGGAAGCATCTTTGCCAATACAAACATATCTTCAATTACTCAATTGTTGGCAAGTAAAACATATACAGTTAGATCTTCCAATTTTTTGACTAATTTGATATTTAGAAATAAGGATTTACAAGTTGTTATGCATTTAGATCCTTTTGGAGATGTCTCATTGATTCGGTCTACTTTAGTTAATGTTGCTGATATGTTGAAATCATTCAAATTGACCACATCGAAATTTGTTTCTACTCAATCTAATAATAAGGTTCCAAATTATGCTCGTCCTACTTTATCTTCTAAATTAATTTCAACTTCCAAGAAGATCGTTAGAACTTCCCCAGTGAAAGGGTCTAAAATGGCAGTTTCAAGGACTGTTCATATGTTACCCTCATCGCCAATTAAACAAATAAGAAGAGAGATTAAGCCATCTATTGGATCCACTTTTTTCAGATCGGAAAAATTAGAAGCAGAAAATATTAAATTGAATCTAGAGTTGGAAAATTTGAAAAATCTTGTTAAGGTTAAAGAAGAAGTTAATTTGGAATTATCAGAAAAGAATAAAACACAACAAGAGAATCTTGTTGTTGAATTAGAACAAATCAAAATAGATTTTGCTCAACTTAAAACTGATTATGATCTTACTATAAACAATATTCAAACTTTGGAAACCTCTAATAAAGAATTAATTGTCCAAGCTGATCAATTACAAAATGAATTCTCATACAAGGAAAAGCAATTAAAAGGACAGTTGGAAGATAAATCCAAAGACATCGAATCTCTTACATCTGATATTCAAAATCTTAAACAGCAAGCTGGTGGCTATGAGTTAGAATTACAAGAAACCAAAACAAAATATGAACAACTTAGGGTATCCAAGGAAGAAGAACAATCCAAACTCAATGAATTGGTCGATTCAAAAGATAAAGAGATTGATAATACCTCAAAATTACTCAAAGAAGCTACCGACAAAGTTCTGAAATTAGAAGAAAAGATCCATGCTCAACAATTAGAAATTTCTTCCTTGACGTATGAGATTATTGATATCAAGGATAATCACCGAGCTGCAATTAAACAAGTGGAAGAATCTCACAAGAGAGAGATTGAAAACTTAAGCAACTCTCACAAAACTGAAATTGAGGGTCTCGAGAATGATTATCAATCTGAAACCAAGAAATCGGAAAACATTAGCAATGAATTAATCAATAATATGGCTGAATTGGTTCTATTAAAAGGACAGCTTAAAGATCAATACGATCTTCATCAAGAGGTTGTAAGTAGTAAAGAAACGGAAATTTCTCACTTAAAGGGCCGATTGAGTGATGAACAACAAAAGTCAACTAAATTGGAAGAAGCATTAAATGAAAATGCAACAACTATCAAAGCTTTGGAAAATCTGTTGCAGTCATCAAGGGACGCAAACAGAACCGCTTCAGAGTTAGAAGAAGAACTTGATCGTATTAGAAAAGAAAACGCCAATTCTAAAGCTGCACTTCAAGAAGCAAGAGAATTCAAAGAGAAATCAATTGAGAAATTCAAATATCTTAACGCTCGTCTAGAAGAGAAATCTAAATCGTTAGAGACCTTGATGAAGGACCAACAAGAAATGAAAACTAAGATTACTGCCGATCTTGACAAATCAGCCGAGAAAGTCAGTCAATTAACCCAGCAATTACAAGAAGCCCAAGAGACAATACAAAAGTTGAAGAATAATGATTCTGCTGAGCAAATTGCTGAACTTCGTAGGAAATCACATGAAGTTGTTGAGAAATTCAAAGCAAAGGTTCAAAGGAGAGATGATGAGATTACGAAATTGACTGAGCAATTAAAAAATCAATCAAAATCCAGTTCTATCCTGACCAATATGCCAGAACTTTCCCCAAGCAGAACTACTCTGTTTAGCCCACATCAAATCTATCAAGACAAGGTCGTTTTGTCAAAGCCAAGTACAGAAAAATTAAATGGGTCTCCTAAAGAGAAAGAAAAGAAAGTATTAAAGCCTAGCTCGAAGTTAAATAGTTCTCCTATAAAGGGTTCAGGTAAACATGATTCCTCCCCATTAAAGATTTTAAAAAGAAAGTCCTCAATGATGAATAGCCCCAAGCTCAAGAAAAGATCTACACCACCAACGTAAAATTAACATTTGAAATTTTTATACCCATTCCTAATCAACAAAAGAACCTAATCTATATTGTTTAATTAATATGCTTTTTTTAGTTTTGTATTTGTTTTGTATAAACGTATTATTGCCTATGTAAAGTATACAGTAAAATCTCTATACAGTTCTTCTATCAGTCAAATATCGAGCAATTGGTCCCAATCCCCCAATCTCGACTGCTTTTTCGAACCAACTCAATAATAAACCTCCTTGTTTTTGACCATATTCCTCACTCATCGATTTATATAAATATTTTATCAAAGTTTCTTGTTGTTCACTATTCAAACCATGAATAAATTGGTCCAAATCATTAAGAGAATTGTTATTTCTGATCGAACACAAAGTTTCAAAAACAGTACGGGCATGGAGGGATTTGGTTTCTGGTGTGGAGACATATGGTGCTGAATCAAGTGCAAGGGCAAGTGCGTCCTGGAATTGTCCCGTTGATAATTGATTACGGATTTGTTGGGAGACAGATTCAATGGTGGATTGAGGAGTGGCTGGAATTGAATCAGGAATGAGATCTTCTGGTGAGAGATGATTCTCGGTTTCGAAGGCGTCAATGTCAATTTTCCTCCAGTCTTCTTGAAACGACATGTTCTGGTTTTTGTTTAAATGGGTTATAGGGGAATTGAGTATGACAGTTGTGGGAGAGAGAATTGATTGTTGGTTTTTGTTTAGCTTTGTTCCTCCTGAGTGAGTGAGAGTTGGTGTTATATGCACACCACCATAAAGTATGTGTATGGGTGGGACCTTACGAAACAACACAAGAGGATAATCTACAAAGAAACTACATGACAAGCACAGTATTTCAAACTGATTGATTCGTGCTATTGCTCTTCTCTCTATCCATGAGTTATCCTAATGTACATATATATATCTAACTAGTAAGTGTATTTTTTTCAAACTTTCACTTTCTTCAGTCTCTTTGGTTCATCTACCTCATCCTCATCTTTCTCTTGCAGCAACTGTTGTTGTTGTTGTTGTTCCTGTGGTAGTTGTGGTTCATATCCATCAATAAATGTTAATGCACTATCCCGTAATTTCAAACTATCAACAATAATAACAACTAATCCATCACTTCCAACTTCATATTTAATATGTCCTTCATTAGGGATAGCTATCTGTTCATCAAAGTTGTCAAAGAAGTCGTTCATGGCTGTAAAACTTTGGATAGAGTCCATATTACGTTCTTCCATTTCTCCATCCGGGTGGCTGGGTGAGTTGATGACTATTATGACTCGAAGAGGGTAGTCTAATTCGTCTTGTTCGTGTACAAATTCTTCTATGTCTGACATTTTTATTCTTTGATGTCGAGTTCTTATGGCGATCTATAGATATGATAGAGACTAGACTCAACCTGTCTTCTTCCTTTATATCTCAGCTCTGTTGCAATAAAGACAGACAGTGTAAGATGGTTGATGGCCTGAATAAAAAAAAAATCTAGATTCGATGATCCTGTATACAACTATAGAACTAAAAAGAGGCAAGCACATGGTAGCTACGAGTCAACTACCCTCTCTAAGGAATAATTACATGTACAGATATTGTTATCTACTTGTATATTACTATTAAGAAAAAATTACATAAGTCTCATCAAAGGTGAAGGGATTATAAAACCATATATATATGGAATGAATTATCTTTTTTAGATAGACCAGTCCTTGAATTGGTTAATCAAACCTCTAGTTGATGCATCATGAGATTCAACCTTCTTTTCACTGTCTAATTCCTTACCAATAACCTTAGCTAAGACCTTACCTAATTCAACACCCCATTGATCGAAAGAGTTAATGTTCCAGACGGCACCTTCAACAAATGTAACGTGTTCATAGTAGGCAATTAAAGCACCAAGAGTAGATGGAGTAATCTTTTGAGCTAAGATGGAGGTGGTTGGACGGTTACCGGAGAATTCCTTGTGTGGAACCAATCCACCAGTAGCACCTTCAGCCTTGACTTCTTCAGTGGTCTTACCAACCATTAAAGCTTCAGCTTGGGCAAAGAAGTTGGATGCAAGCATCTTTTGGTGGAGGTTGTTTTCAATTGGGTTGTGAGATTGAGCAGCCAAGATGAAATCAGATGGAATCAATTTGGTACCTTGATGAACAAGTTGGAAGAAGGAATGTTGAGCGTTAGTGGCTGGTTCACCAAAGAGAATAGTACCGGTTTCGTAGTTAGCATGGACATTAGCTCTGGTGACGGATTTACCATTTGATTCCATAGATAATTGTTGCAAGTAAGCTGGGAATCTGTGTAAGTATTGATCAAATGGAACAACCAAATGAGTTTGAGCATTGTAGAAGTTATTGTACCAGACAGATAATAAACCACCTAAAGCTGGAATGTTGTTTTCTAATGGGGTGGTTAAGAAATGTTGGTCAACAGCTTCAGCACCCTTTAAGAATTGTTCAAAGTTATCGAAACCAATGTAGATGGCAACGGATAAACCAATAGCAGACCAAACGGAATAACGACCACCAACCCAGTTTTCGAAACCAAACATATTTTTGGTGTCAATACCGAATTTAGCAACTTCTTCTTCGTTGGTGGATAAAGCGGCGAAATGCTTGGCAATATGAGATGCATCCTTGGCTTGTTCCAAGAACCATTTCTTGGCGGAGTTAGCGTTAGTGATGGTTTCAGCAGTGGTGAAGGTCTTTGAAGCAATCAAGAATAAGGTGGTTTCAGCATTCAAGTTCTTGAGGGTTTCAGCTAAATGGGTACCATCAATATTAGACACGAAATGAACATCTAAGTTTGGTTTAGAATAAGCTTTTAAGGCTTCAGTGACCATAACTGGACCTAAATCGGAACCACCAATACCAATATTAACAACATCAGTAATGGCTTTACCAGTGTAACCAGTCCATTTACCATCTCTAACTTCGTTGGAGAATTCCTTCATGTGTTGTAAGACATCATCAACTTCCTTAGCAGTATCTTTTCCATCAACAGCCATTTTTCTCAAGGCACGGTTTCTTAAGGCAACGTGGTAGACAGCTCTGTCTTCAGTAGTGTTGATATGTTTACCAGCAAACATTTCATCTCTCAATTGTTCAACATTTGCTTCCTTAGCCAATTGAACTAATTGATTGAGAATTTCCTTGTTAACAAGATTCTTGGAGAAATCGAATAAGATTTTGGAACCATCAAAGTTTTCAAAAGTTCTAGAAAATTCGGAAAATCTAGAAGAATCTTTAGCAAAAGCATCTTTAACACTGAAATCCTTACCAATGGAATTGTAAGTTTCTTGTAATTGTTTCCAAGCTGGTAATTCTGAAGCTAATTTGAAGGAGGACATTGTTGTTTTCAATTGGGAAGTGAGGTTTATGATAAATAGAGATTGAAAAACAGGAGAGAAGAAAAAAGGGGGGAGCGGAATTGGGTTTTTTATAAATAAATAATTTTTCAAAATCCTTTATTAACAGGGTGAGTGAAGTGAAGTGGTAGTGGTAAGATTGCGTAGATGGAAAATTGAGAACCGAAAAAAAATAAAAATGTGTTAAAAATGTTTAAAAATATTTATTGCTACTACCGTCCCAACCACACCCGTTTTATTTTTCTTATTGTTTTTGAAAAGGAATTCCTTCCCAGTTTACTAGATTCTGTATAAATAGAGTTGGATAAAACGAATAGCGGTCAAAAGTAAATTTTCTTAGGACGACCAGTAAACTTGGCTAATAGACAATTTATTCGCCAATTACATTACAATTATCAGCCTGAAAGATGCAGTAAGAGAGATGAGTAATCAGATTGTAATTTGTGTAATCTAACTTCAATGGATCTAACTAACTTCATTAATAAATTTGAAAAATTCAAATTTTCTTCTCTCTCTCTCTCCACGCCTCCCGGAGTAGGCAGGTCCAACCATTTCCTCAAACAAAAAACATTGCAACATCACCTTTTAAGGTACTTTAGAGTATAGAGGTGGCTGAAACTGATTCTATTTTTTGGGACTTTACCGGTCGTTACGTTTAATTTAAATTCAATTTAATTATTTTTATATGGATCATTATGCGAACGAGGGTCTCCCTTCTTTGCTGCTGATATGGAGCACGGACATAGATATCAAATTTCCGATTCAATTCAATATTTCCGATGTCTAATGTAAATACCGGAAATACATGAAACCCTTGCGCTGAGACATCGGAGAATCTTTCTACTGCAGAGACTCTATAATTATTTAGTTCGAGAATTAATAAGCTCGGGAATTTGCTTTGTAAGCTTATACGATAAATATTGCCTGGAACCACTTTTTTCTTGTAGATCAAATCAATCAAATATATAACCTAAATTGATTCATTTTTGGTAAAGCCCATTTCCTCTTTTATCTTCAACTTTTCAAAGTCATAGAATCAATTCTATTTAGTAGTAGTTCAATGGAGGGGAGCGATCCCAAGTGGCTGGTTGTTGGATCTGGGGGAAAAAATATTATGCAAATTATTGATCACCAGATTTAGAATGTCATAATTACAAACAATCCGAATAACATCAGCATAGCTTACTTTGAAACAAAATGTCAGGGCTAGCATCCAAATGGGCGACTGATGAATCTTTAGTAGAAAAAGCTTTAGAACAAGATTCAAAAGTATCACATCACAAGTCATCAACGCATATTCTTTCATCATCCCCATCGGAATCTGATAAATGGCACAAACCAATCACCCTGAAAAAATCAGAACAATTACAAAGTAAATGGGCTTCAGAACCACTGCCAGAACCTATAAGTCCAGTATTATCCCCAGTTAGGCATTCTCATAGGAAAGATCATGATAGAATAAAACAACTGTATTTGACTCCACCATCACCTCATGAGGACAGATCTAGACGCTCTCCACCTAAGAAATTTCAACAAACTAGCCGATCTAGAGACCCCATCGATAATAGAAATCCAAACATACAAAAATATAACCAAACTCCGGACAGAGAGGATCACAGGGGACATTTTGAAAAGAGACGATTTACTAATGAAAATGTTGATGTACATGATGAGGATGAAGATAATGATAGAGGACCTATGACTGACGCCGCCAAGGCATTTGCAGCAAGATTGGGCATCCCAGATCGAAGTACTGGTCGTCAAACGTTTAATAAAGAAGGTCTGGCTGATTGGGAAGATGTTGATGATGATAGTGAAGAAGATGTAAAACATGTTTCATTTGCTAAGGGAAATTCATTGGCATCCAGATTAGGGAAATTGGATCTTCGGGATACAAGAAAATCCACGACTCATGCCAAAAAGATTCTGTCACGAGACTTGGGGAGAAAGAACCAACCCCGAAACAAGAAGGATCGATATCAAGAATTGGCAGCAAAAGAGAAGTCTGCACCAGTAGAATCTAAAGAGGAAAGAGAGGCAAGAGAATTAGCTGAAGAAAAAGCAAAGCAGGATATGCTTGCAATGCTTGATAAAATTGATACTAATGAAATAGATTGGGCTAGTTATGATGATTAGTCAATTTGGTTTGTGGGCATTTTCAGCATTATTAAGAGCGATTTAATTGTATATTTATGTAACTAGCGATTGTACTAATAAAAAATAGCATATATGTTTAGACCAGTACCATTCCCCCATTGTTTACTTTTCTCTCCGCAGTTCAAAAAAAAAATGAAATATCGAATCACCCATCTTTATCCTTCAGTCGACAATTATGAAGTTTCCCGAATTTAGTAAATTTCCATCTAGAAGATCAGTAGTCTACTCCCTCAATGGCATGGTTGCCTCCAGCCAACCATTAGCAAACGCAGCAGGTATATCCATTCTCAATCAAGGCGGAAACGCAATTGACGCATGTATTGCCATGTCAGCAGCTCTTTGTGTTACTGAACCCCCTTCGACAGGCGTAGGAGGTGATGCATTTTTGTTGTATTATGATAATAAATCTCAAGAAATATATGGGTTGAATGCATGCGGTAGATCTCCATCAAAATTATCTTGGGAATGGATTCGTAAGAACACTGATATTTCAAGCAAGAGAATGCCATTTGATTCTATTCATGCTCTTACTGTTCCCGGGGCAATTGCTGGGTGGTGTGATGCTGTAGATAAATGGGGGTCGGGAAAGGTAACAATGGCACAGATACTAGAGCCAGCAATCAGTTTGGCGGAAAATGGATTTGTCGTGAGTAGTATTGCTGCACAATTGTGGAATCGATGTTGTGAGAAGTTAATTTCCAAAAGTGGAGAAAATGCTAATGTGTTCTTGAACGAAGATGGAAGTTTTCCTGAGCCAGGTCAAGTTTTCATTAATGAATTGGTGGCAAAAGTATTTCGAAAGGTGGCAACAGAAGGAAAGCAAGGGTTTTACAGTGGTGATATTGCACAAGAGATAGTGAATGCTGTTCAATCAAGAGGCGGATTGTTGAATTTGGAAGATTTGTCGAGTCATCATTCTGAAGTTGTAAAACCTATTTGTATTGAATTTTGTGGGAAATATATCTGGGAAATTCCTCCCAATGGACAAGGATTAGTTGTGTTATTAACATTAGGATACATAAAATCATTAGCCAAAAGAGGTGTAATACAACTAGGTAAGCTTCAACACAATTCTGTTGAATATCTTCACTTAGTTACTGAATGTTTAAAGCTCGCCTTTTTCGAATCGGAAAAATATATTACCGACCTCAATCATCACCCGGAAATCCAATTATCGGAAGCCCTATCCGAAGAAAGGCTTGAGCATGTTTCTCAGTTTATCAAATTAGACTCCCTTCTAACCCGGGAGGATTTCGGAAATGTAACAGTGCCTAATCCGATATATGACAGTGACACGGTCTACCTCACCGCAGTTGATAAAGATGGCAATGCTTGTTCATTCATCAACTCGGTCTATATCGAATTTGGATCTGGCATCATTCCCAACAAATATGGGTTCTCATTACAAAACCGTGGTGCAGCTTTCAACTTAACACCTGGTGCTCCTAATTGCCTTGCTCCAAACAAGAGACCATTCCATACTATCATCCCTTCTATGATTACTGAGTTCGATTCAGAGGGAAAGCATAGATTATGGGCTTCGATGGGGTGTATGGGAGCAGCAATGCAACCACAAGGACATGTTCAGATCTTTTTGAATATGGTATTATTTGGAATGGATCCTCAAGAAGCAATTGACTGTCCCAGAATATCTTTAAATTCGAACAATAAGTTAAGACATTTAGATATTGGGTTAGGAAGTGATGGACCCAATGCTACTCCTGAACCGAAGTTGGTAATTGAAGAAACTATGCCTGATGATGTGATTGATGGGTTGCGGAAAATGGGTCATAATGTAAGTGTGGCCAAGGGTTACCATAGGGATATTTTTGGGAGAGCACAATGTATTAGAAATTTGTCTAAAAATGGAAGAGTGATTTGGGCTGGTGGATCTGATCCTCGTGGAGATGGGGCTGCTGTTCCCCAGATTTAATTCTGTGCGTGCAGTGTTATGCAGGGTCCCAAAATCGGCAATTGGTAGCACACCTTCTGAACTGAAAAAGATTTTTTAAGTTTCATATTTGAATGAAACAACTCAGAGAAATGGTTCTTCTATAAATTTCTAATTTTAATAGTATACTAATCAAATCTCATAAATCGTTTGTTTTTTAGCTACTCCTAGACTAGAAACCAAAATGAATTTTCAAAACTCTTCAAATGGCGAAGCTCCATCTTCATCAATTAATCCAGATGAAACCCCTGAACAGGGCGTTTCTGGTGCAGACTTGAACTTCTTGTTATCACATTTTCAATTGCCGGACGTTGAAAGCAATGGCGAAGCTAATAACGATCCTACCGACCCGGATCCTAATGCTATAACCAGAAGCGTATTTGAACTAGTTCCTAAGCAGGATCATTCCACTGACGGAAACACCAAATCTAGCATCTTAAATCCCTCCAATGAAGAAAGGCGACGTCAAAAAATGAAAAAAATGTGGGACAACAAGTTCTCGGATCGAATTGAAATAGCTTATGCTGCACAAATGGATGAGAACCTTTCCCTAATCAAAGTCTTTTCAATAGGCATAAGGTTGTTCAGAGGTCTTATAGACTATTTCATGGACCCAGAAGGTTTTGTTGTGACCCCTGAAACTTTTGTAAGAAGTTTCGAACTTTATGGTAAGAATCAAGAGGAACTTCAAGAGAACAAAGAGGTATTCAAAATCATCGACGAATGTTTGTCGTTTAAAATGCTAACATTTAGTTGTTTAAACTATCCCGGTGATAACAGCAATTGGAGGATGAAACAGATTATTAAATACGTGGAAAAGGTGAGCTCGCGTTCTTGTAAGGATATATTGGGAAAAGATCGTGTGGATGCTACAGGTGAAACGAATGTACAGTTTTATGAGGATATGTTCTACCGTCGATTAAGGAGTTATGCCGTTCATATACGTGGGCTTATGAGCAACAGCTCATTGGGTCTTCTCAAACTCAAGGCTGAACCATGGCCAATTCATGGGGTTGTTGATCAGTATGTTTCTTCGTTGGACATAAGCATAGTTTTGACGTTTCCTTTCTTGGATGATAAGCATTCGAAAATGAGACTTTGTAAAATCCTAGTTGGTGATTTTATTCAATGGAGCAATGACCCTGACGAGCACATGATTATAGAACCTGATGAAGTTGCTCGTGCTTTGGAGGCTGATTCTAGCGTCGGGAAAGCACCCAATGGGGATTTCGTTACGGGTGTGAAAGGAGATTTCTCGGAATTAAGTACCCTTTCTGACAAGGTTGGGCCAATGAAATATCCAAAGGGACCTCTGGGGAGAAAGGTCTTTGATGGAAGAATTGAGAAGAAGCAAAGCAAGAGGCAAAAAAAGCATGAAATACAGAACTCATCCCAACTACAGTCAGCCCGAATTATACCCCATCACGAGAATTTACAATAATTCTGAAGTAAGTCTTGCTCGCTATACCAAATCATTTTGCTCAACAGACCTAGATATATAAAGCATAATTTTTAATAGTTATAGAAATATTGACACAATCATATAGTAAACTGAAATCTTCTAGTGGCAACCAAGTTTAGAGCTTCTAGAAGCCCAAGAAAAAGCCTAAAAAATCTGGTGCGACATTTTCCGAGATAAAATGTCGTTTTTCTTCAAACCGAACGATGTCGTGAATCCTCTATGCGTCCCCCCTTCCAACTAATAATAAGCTTCTTAATTAAAATCCAACGCTGCTTTTCTCCGAATTGTCAATCACCGAGTTAATTTACATACAAGAAGTAATGATGTTCCCTAAAAGGTCAATTCCACAGATGTCATCTATCTCAACTAGACGATTGTCCATTATTGGATCTCGGTTAGAACAACAGACTAGATTGCTTACCCCATACATAGCAACCCAAAGACGATCAGCATATAATCAGCCTCCACAAACTCCACAACAACAACAACAGGAATTCGAGAAACAGCAATATGATCAATTAATGAAAGAACAATTCATCAGATCGACTTTCCAGAATGGAATACCCACAACGACAGCTGAATCTATGGAACGTAATCGAATGCCATTCAGGACAATGGCAATGTTATTCTTGGTATCTAGTTCCTTATCTATGGTGGCATATGTTGTAATTCAATATATTAAGTTCCAGGATGAGGAAGAAGAGATAGGTGTGCATGGAAATGGCCAAATACATAAGATTAAAAGAAGTCGAAGGATTTTTTTACCATTGTGGATTAATACTCAATTCTTTTATACTAAAAAATATGGATATCCTAAAGGATTAAGTTATTTTGATCAAGATTATTATAATTATATTTTGGTAGAAATGGATCAATTGAAAAATAAAACTGGAAATGAAGATGAGGTTAAGAATTATTTTCGAATTTTAGAAGAAGATAATGTTAAATATACTGTTCTTCAAAAATTATCATCCAATAGTAAAGTAAAACAAATCTTTGGACTTCCATTAAGTGTTGATACTATCCCTGAAAGTCCTGATTTTAAGATCTGGATTGAGACTGAATTCCCTAGTATATCAGGGATTCAAATAGATATAACCAGTGCTCGCAATGATGGTACGAATTCACGTAATACGGACATAGATGTATCCTGGAAGATCAAGCCAATAAATACACGATCGATAGCCAATAATGCATTGATACAATTGGGATTGAAGCTAGATCGACTCGAATCATCAAATGCTCAGATTAAAACTCATGAGAAATCGAGTGGGAAAGTCCATGAGATGAAATTGGAGAATGAAAACTTGACTTTAAATAAAACTAGAGATTATATGATTCATTTTTCGGGGAAGTTGATGATTAAGGATAAGCATCATTTGAAGTCTGGGATATTGCAGTATAAAGGGGTGATTGATTTTGATCATTTGATGATAAATAGAGGAGTAAAGATATGTTGTATGGATTTGATAACTGATAAGGAAGATAATCCCAAAGAAAAGATAACTTATCGAATCTTATAAACACCATGCATATAGTGTATATATAACTTGAGAGTGACATGCAAAAACATTAAATAATAACCTCTATATAATTGTGTGTGCTAAAAAACTAATTACTACTCTACTTCAAATGTCCTTTATAATTCCCTTCCATATAATCAATGTGGACAAACGCTCTTTCCACCATCGGTAAACTTTCAATTGAATATTGTAATGCTTCAGCAATATCGTGACAATCTTTAAATGATAACTCAAATTTGTGTTCTTCAGCAAATACCAAATCAATTTCTACATTCAAATTATCACCCACATGATAAATTTTCAATGCAGTAATACGACTAATAGGTTCTGCAAACCTATAAGCCAAATATAAAATCACCTTAAAATCACGTGGATCAGCAATTGCCCCTGTCAAATTATTAATATGTTCAAATGCCGTAGCCGACCAATTCACGACAATGTATACTGACAACAAGAGAGCACCAAGAGGATCAAACCACCAGATATCGAAATAATGACCAATTGCAGGCATGAGTAATGAAACTGTATTGAAAACAATATCAGTCATAGCGTCCTGAGCAAGTGCTTGAACTGAGGATGAAGGGCTCTTGGAACACCAGAGCCAACATCCGACTTTGGCGATAATTGTGGTAGTCATGATTGCAATAGCGTCGATTCCAATAATTGCTGGAATCTTCTGTTCTGGACTGGGGAAAAAGAGACGTTTGAATGATTCTTGACCAACTTGGAAAAAGGAAATAATGATAATGATTGAAAAAATAAGGATTCCGAGTGGTTCTAAACGAGACCGACCAACTGGATACGTATGTTGGACTTTCCAATCTTTGGTGGTGGCTAATCTGTTGACGACGTAGATGATGAATGTGGATAAGAAATCCAAAATGGAATCAACTAAAGATGCAACTACCGATATAGAATTGGTTAATACAGCAACAACCAATTTTCCAATTAATAATAAGAAATTGATTAAGAAATTGACTAAGATAGCTGTTAAGACTTGACTGTTGTGATCTTCTTCATCAAAACCTAAGAATTTGGAACCATCATTATCGATATTACCAGGAACGTCATAAAATCTTGAATATCTTGTTGCAATTGTTTCATTAGCTTGCATACATTGTTCTAAATCACTATTATTTTGAAATTCACTACTGGCTTTTCTAGAAAGTGGTTCATCGATTTCAACAATATTATCAAGGGCAACTTTCCCATTATGTGAATCAGTATAATTACTTAACATATTATAATGAATCTTTCCAGCATCTAAGAAATTATCAATTTCTTGGAATTTCTCAATCAATTCATTTTGTTCTTCATAATAGTTTCTTATTTTCTTATTTTTGATAGTATGAAGATCCAGGATATATGCATCATACCAATTACAAATTGGTATAAAAGTACCAATTAATCTTTGAGGTCTAAGTGAATTAACGATATCTGCAATACTCATTCTTCTAGCATCTCCACCCATCAGGGATGCAATGCTTGCATTATCTTGTAAAAATCCTCCTGCACCACCACCACCAATTAATGAAACCAGACTCAAATGCGCATCAAATGGAGAATTTGGATTACTAACAGAATGATAATTGGATAATAAACGTTGATAAAGCGGTCTTTCTGGGGCATTACCTCCAGCTACTGAGCTTGGACGTTTTATGTGATCATGACCGGAGAATGAATATCGACGGCGCTGTGAACAAGAAGAATCATCATTTGGAGCCAAATCATTAGATCTACCTGTACTTGCTCTCTTTTTTTGTGGATTTGGAGTTTGAGATGAGGATCTTGGGTGTGGAGATGTTGATCTAGCAAATCGTTTATTTCTTTCTCCATAATCAGTTACTGTTCTTCCATTAATTGGACCTAATAAAGGCTGAGTTTCATTTTCGTCTGAATCCATTGTGGACTTTATCAATTGGTTTTAAATACTATTGTGATATTTGTGTAATTGATTAAATAGGGAATGTCGCTAGGAAATAACGATTGTATGTGGTGGATTTATAAGTTTGAAATTAATGAGAAAGTAAGTTATGATTATAAATATTCAATGATTATTGTATGGAAAGATGAATGAATGATGAGATGAAAGTGTTAATATATTTAAATAATTTTTATATTCCACAAATGCCAAGTTATTGTAGAAAATAATTTTAAATTGTAAAGGAATCAAATTTTATTTTATATTATTTTAAATGATGCACATAAAAAAATATTTTCTTATACCCGTTTTCGGTTTCGGATAAATTAAATTTTTAAATTTCTCGTTATATTACACAGTAGATTCATAAATGTTACCAATCTATCATTGCTTTCTTAAAACACTTAGTTACTTCACACGAGTATAAATTAGTAGGACTGGTGATATACTATTGGTCCTTTGCTTGTTTGGATCTTAGTTTAAAGTTCTATAATATCAGATGCGCTATCGCTAAATAAATTAAACACGAGGGAAGTACTTTATTTTTTTGGCACGGGTTCGGAGTGTGAGATGAGATGAGACATGACTCAATAATCAAATTAATTAAACCAATCATCCCTGTCACACTACATAGCCCGCCTTTCATGTCCAGATCAATAAATAAAATATAATTAATTATAATGCGATTGTTTTAAAAGGCCCAGGGACGGAACATAATGTCCGAAATTTATGGCGGGGTTAAGTCGGGTGGCAGCCCTCCCTATTTCTGTACACTCTCCCCCTTTGTTCTTCTCCCTTCTGAAATTCGTTTAAGGAATTATACATCTTTATATCCCTAAAATGGTTGCGACTGTTTATTGTTAGATTGCGAAAATTCTTGTTTCTCTCTTCCAGGATGTACTGTATTAGGTGCATATATATGGATAAGTAAGTATGTGTGCCCAATGTCTAATATGACACTCGTTTGCCAATGCGAATTAAGAGTTATTTTGATAACATTCTATTATACCTATTGCTTTATAGATTTGTTGCTTTTATACTACTATCGGGAGTGGGTTCCCATCAAGAAGAAGAACAAGAGAAAATGATACTGGTCTCGAAATTATCAAGAAATCAACATATCTGATTTAGAAACCCATTCGGTCTGATAATTTCCATGTTGATTAATTTCTTCTTTAATTCAGATTCAAATTTCGCATCTTAAATAGGGTCATTTGTCTCCAATAAGGACTGAAAATGGGAGTAATGCCATGTCTGAAATTGAAATTGAAGAAATGAAAGAAGAAGAAGGAGATTTTGCCAAAAGAGGAACGGGTGAGGACGAAGGAAGAAGCTATTACGAGTTGATAGGAGAAGGGAGGTATAATTAAGAATATGAATATGTAGCTACCGGGCGAAATAATTAGCAGGCTTCGTCGGAGATTGAGATTGATGAATCTGGTCTAGATATCTTCTTGCTTTCAATTTTGATAATTTCATTTTAGAATCGTCTCCCCGCCCCTGTGCTACCAAAATTCAGTATTGGAAAAGCAAATAGTAAACAAAATCACTAAATCCCTAAATCCTAGGAAACATCAATTTATGACATATACTGCAGTTCGTAAACAAGACCTACTTGTCACTGGAACGCGTCTCATAAATTGAGCTCTTATAGGATCCTTCAAAATGCTTGTCAAGGAGACGTCTGGGTGAAGGCCAAAAAAAATACTGCCAAAAAATGCTGCCAAAAAGATGTTGCCAAAAAAATTTCTCTCCCTTTTCCTTTCTTAGTTCTTTAGTAGAACCAATACAACTCTTCTAAAATGCCCAATCATACTTTATCAGAAACCAATATCCAAGATCTAATTGCTGAGAATAAAAAGAAAATTCTAAAACGTCCATTCCAGGAATTCAACACTAGAATCATCGCATATTCATCCAAACTAATTGCCATTATAGCATCACATGCCCCACAAACAATCAAAACAACCTCTCTGGAATCATTACCTACAATTGACTAACCCACTGAACTCTATCAAATAAAAGATGTATGGGGTTTTGATAAATATTGGAGTAACTAGATCCACTGATGTTTTGGATGAACCAGTGGTGGGTCATGATGAAGTTCATGTCAAATTAGAGAGGTTGTTGATTTGTAGTGAATGTGAAAAGGGTCCACTTGGATTCGCTGGGATTCCAATTGGTTTGGAAGCTGATCATAGAAACTTGCAATTTTCTTTGAGTTGTAATAGTGTATTATATGATTTTTAAACGGTAGGCTTGCCCACACGAGGAGATAGATAGTGATAAAAAGTTGATCATAGAATCATAAATTGACTCTTGGTCTTGCATCTTTGAGAAAGTTGCAAGGAGATAGATAGTGATAAAAAGTTGATCATAGAATCATAAATTGACTCTTGGTCTTGCATCTTTGAGAAAGTTGCAAGGAGATAGATAGTGATAAAAAGTTGATCATAGAATCATAAATTGACTCTTGGTCTTGCATCTTTGAGAAAGTTGCAAGGCAACTTTCATAAAAATGCAATTCTATGGACATTTATAGTTTCCTGATGTAGCTTTATATGGTTTATTTGATTGGTTTGCTTTTTATTAGAGACCAGTTCTATTGGCATCTATTCAAGTAAGATATCTTGCTTATTGGACTATAGTTGGACGGTAGAAGAAACAAGCTACGGTTTGTATTCCATTTTTTATGAACGCTTCATGCAAGTGATTTAAACTATTCTTAGGAAAAAATGGATGCAACTTTTGGGAGTATAAATTCTCAATTGCGAAAAAACCACAGAACTTCAATTTGTTTGTACTCCTTCCTTTCTTCACTTTACAACAAATACAATAAATACAAGAAAAAGGTTACCCCAATTACTTCAAACAATCCCCAAGAATCATCTGATTCCTTATTATCCATAAGAGAAATCTCCGAGCTCGACAAGAAGATGCAGGGACATTACATCGCTGGATTATTCCAGAAAATAAAGTTGGCGCCAGATATATCGCCAAATATCACTGAGCAAAATCCAACTCAACTAATCCAACAACAATGATCGAGTTTTTAAAATCCAGTTATAATGAATCAATGCAAGAAGAGATTCCAAAGAAGGTTCACGACTTGTTTGTTGATATGCCAATGAGTGAAGATTTAGAAAATGGTTATTCAGATCCCGCCGACACAAACACCCCTCAATCATCAATTGAAGTACAAGAACCTGTTTCCACTGCTGTTACTGATGTTACTACAACTCCTACTGCTGATACTATAACTACCGGTGCTGCTTCTGCTGCTACCTCTGCTGCTGCTGCTTCTACTGCTGCTTCTGCTACAACTATTACATTTACTAATATTCTACTGCTGTTACAACAAATAACCATTCAATCTTGTTTACCATTAATGAGGAACATGAAGAAGAAGAAGAGAAAAATGAAATTAATGCTACACAAAGTATCCCAAAATCCTTTGGATCTAAAAATCTTATTAGCTGGCACAAGACCAAGACAAATTGCCAAAGATTAACAATTAATAGTTCCAAAAAAATCAAGGCAATATGGCGATCCATTTTAAGCAAGAATGTGCTAGATAAAGAACATTTTGACTCATTGGGGGTTGATGGAAATGCTATTACACAGATTTCAAACACGAAGTTTAGTAAATTGGAACTCCCTACAGTTTTTTTATCAATTGCGGTATCAAGAACTATCAAAATGGAACAAAAAAGCTATGGTTGGGTGTATCCTGTTGATTCATACACCTATTATTTAATTGCTAACCACCCTAGTTTATCGTCGAATTATTTCCTAGATTCACCCAAACATACCACGAGTCCATTTCCATTTATCCCATCACTCCAAAACTGCCAATACTTTCATACAAGATGAAGAATGCGAAGACATAGAATCCCACAAAGAGAAAAATTCGGAAAACCTCGGAGGAGCCGGGGGTTTGCATCATACTGATTTAGAGGGTATAGAAGTTGGTTATCGAACTTCATCTTCTTGCTATCCAAACAGTGAATCTATCCGAAGTTCATCGTCTTGCTATCCAAGCATTGAATGTCTCCCAAGTTCATCATCTTGCTTTCCAAGTATCCGAAGTTCATCATAGGTATATCATAGCATTGATTCCTTAAATTCATCATAGAATTTGGAATCCCAATAAAGACTATGTTGATATATCGGGTAACTTATTGGTTGGTGGTCGGGATGGCTATAATGGTTTGCGACTTAAAAGGGAGGCTGTACAAGGACTTATATTTATGTGCTTAATTTATTTTGTAATAAATTTTATATCTTTAAACAAGAAGCTGTCTTGTAATACTTAATGGCTCTAGCTAAGATATGAATATCGCGGGTATTATCGCTATCACTTTGTGGTAAATGCAACCGCTTTTTCATTGTCGGATCGGTTGACCACAGCAAGTCTTATGACCTAATGACAGAATGGACATCTTAATACTATCGTTTCTTCCCCGCTCATACAAATGGAGCTTGCAGGGCGAGGTGATGATCCGAGAGCCCGTTTTTTGGGCCCTTTCTGAAATGCGCTTGGCAAGATTTGAGATTTCCTTTAGCTATTGTTCTGGTAATAAGTCTCTACCAGAGTTCAACATTAACTGAATAGAATATATCTTCGACTCCCAATAAGTGGCAACTATACTGCTGTAAGCAGCCATTTTACTGTAGAGAAAAACATTGATCTCCGTCCAACGAGTATGAGGATATGCAAATTGTTCCTGGTTTTCATTGGCAAGTGACGAAGACCATCATCTCCGTTTGCAATCTCTGTACATTTTGAAATTGGGAACGAATCCTTAAACTACAACATATCCATAACATCAAATGTGAACCATTGGAAGCCACTGAATCCACAACATGTAAAATTTATATTCTTCACTGCAACTCTATTATGCTGCTGTATCATTATTAACGTGACACGATTTTTCGCAATTAAACCTTAGTGAAAATCACAAGTGTTACCCGGGTTTTCATTGTAAAATAAATCTCACAAATTTTCACTCACAGAATAAAGAAAAAAATTTTCATTTCAATTTTCAACTGAATTCTTTTTCTGTTCTCTTCTTTCCTTTCAAAAACAACTTTATAACTAACAATGATTGCAATATAAAGAGCTTATATTATAATAAGATTGATAATTCGGTATGTTTGTTCGAGAAAAGAGAAATAATTAAATATATCATTCCCTTCCGTAATGTTTTTTTTATACAAAACAAATTTTCCTGGATTAAGACAATTCTTATAACATACTTCATCAAACCAATTTACATGATTAAGAACATTGATATAACTATTTGTACTGAGGATGTATATGCAGGACAAAAATAATTAAGGAATTCTTCGTTTATGATTTGGTAAATTTGGTTATATGCATTTGTTTGCTATTGAGAGTTGAGAATTGACTTTGTATCAGGGGAGGGTTAGGGTTTGTTATTGTGAGAAAGAAGAAAGAGAGTAATTTTTGCTAACAACTTCTGTTTAGTATGTTATTATTTCATGTTTGAAGAAGCCTTTTTGACAACTTTTTAAATGATGATTGTTCTCACAACATTCTGTCCGGTGAACCCTGAGCCAATGGATTAAAACATGCATCACCATCTGATTTTTACTTTGTCAAATATTCATAGGAAATTTTAGTTTTGTTTAAAAATAAATTACTAACTGGGGTATGATATTTTAGTGTTCTCAATTTCTTGGAGTATTGAATTGTTTATTGTATTATAATACAACAAAATGGTATGTGTCTATTTTAACTACAAATGAATATTTCTACACGTTGTTTCCTAGCTGCTGTTTTCTTTTAAATGATGAAAATCTTAATTTTCAGTTCTGCTTCTGAACCAAAAACAACTTGAAGATAACCCTTTACCAAAGCTCAATATCTGAATTTTTAAGAAAACAAACAGTTGAAACAAGTAGTGTTCCATTAATGGAATAAAGCAACTAACAAAAAACTTTTAGCTTAATTGTAGTTATATATATTGTTTATACATTCTAATAACATAATTCAAAAATAGAAAATACAATTTGCTAGACTTATTTCTAAATGTTAAAGATAACAACTTTTCCATCAATACCAGAAGTAGATACTTGGGAATCTGAATAATTTTTAAGACTATTAATAGTATTTTGATGAATTGTAGCCAAACCCTTGCTTGTATTAGCTGCATTTGGTCTACTAACTCTACCTTTCAAATCCATTTGTCTAAACATATTCAAAGCTTGATGAGATGAGATTTCTTCATCCTCACCCTCATCCTTATTTGAATGAACTACTTCTTTAGTTAAATCAGTTTCTTGCTCAATCTTATAACTTTCGCTCCAATTAGTTTCATCACCTTCAAATACAATCAAATTACAATTAAATCCACCAACAACAATCTTATTCTCGTTAATCCAGACAAGTGCCTTAAACGGAAGGTAGTTGGTCTTTACATTAAGAACAGCCCTAGGCTCAACCCCTTCACCAGCAGGGTATACAACACCAATGGAAGAATCATGAGAAACATAACCCAATGCATCCCCACTTGGACTGAATCTAACATCATGAATCCAAGCTCCAGTAACATTAGTAAAATCACCACAAAGAGTTTGGAAAGGTAATTTGGTACCCCATACGGTTGGATCGGGTCTTTGATCAATGCCTTTAAGATAGGCACTGAAGACCCTTACATGACCATCAGTGGATCCACAACCCAACAAAACAGAATTAGGATGCCAATCCAAACTAGTAATAGTCGATTTAAGTGGTTTTTTCAAATGTTTAGAAACCCACCAATCATTCTCAGCTTCATAATAACAAACAGCAATAACTCTATCGGAAGATCCAACTGCGAATTTCTTCCCATCTGGTGACCATCTACAACAAGTAGCAGCACGATTGATACGTAAGAGGACCAAAGTGGGTTTATATTCCCCTGATTGATCTTGTTCCCATACAAGCGCATTTCTGTCTTGAGAACAAGTAAGAATCTTGGACCCATCAGGAGAAATGTCAACTGAAGTTACGGTCTTATCATGACCACTTAAGGTGGTGATAAATTGGGGTTTGGAACTTCCGGCGACATTGTAGATTTCAACGTCATTGGACTTGGTGATAGCTAATAAGGAACGATTGGATGAAAATACATGGTCCTTGATTGGAAGATTGCCTAAATTGTAAACTGTATGAGCCATTCTTATTGAGTTATTAGTCTTTATCTTTTGTTTCGCGAGTTAAATGATAAAATCAGGAGTCCACTCTACTGATTTTCTGTTTGATTCAATTGTTCAATTGATTGATAGAAGAGGTGGTAAAAGTGGTGAATTTCGGTGTGGATTGTCAGTGAGGAAGTTTCCCTCGACGGAGAATTATATGCACACCATTGACATTATTTGTGCTCGACACGACTTGAAGCTAGGTTGATAATTATACCCACTCTAGAGGTCCGAGAATTGAGAGCTTTATCGTATTTTATTTATCATTTTGGTTCTTGTACTTGATCTGGCAAACGCTACAGCTCCACATGGTACACACAACCAAAGCACGCAAAACATCTATCTTTTCGGTCGTCCTGAGACTCGAAGGGCTCGTAGGTCTTTATGTTAATAGAAGCTCCTTAGAGTGAATGCGTGCCATATAGAAAGTAGGAATGCTTATGTTGGAATATCTCAATCCTGAGTCTCTTTTACACGCACATTTCAAATTAAGTTTATTAGTGAAGTTAGTTAAGAAGAATATTCTGTAGAAGTTAATTATTAATGTCGGATCTACATCCACTTTTATATTATCGGATGAGCAAAGTTTTTTCCCCAAATTTGGTTAATAATTTATTGCACTTTGTGCTCTTACATTTAGTATCATAACTTCATTTGCTGGACGTTACCTGATCCGACTTTGCTGTGGATATTAAATTCGCTGGACGTTACCAGATCCGAAATTGCTGTGTATATTAATAGTTAGTTAACTTGCTAGACGTTGCCAGATCCACCTTCCTATGGATATTAATAAGCTAAGTCGTTCATAACTTGTTATATAAGTAATTTACTTCTGTTTAATTCATTGTCAGTAATCTACTCTTCTCTTACATACTTGTCCATAATAGCCTTTCAACAATATTCTTATTTTGTGATACAAATTCCCAACGACAAAGTCCTTGGATTCATTTATTTCCTCACTAAGTGCTTAATACATCCAGCTCAAAATATATTGTGATTATAGCCATTTCTTTGTTCTTCCAAGTAAAAAGAACTCAAATGAGGTTCGGTGCATAATTACCATATACAAACTGAAGAGTATAGAGGGATTCATTTCCATAAGTTACACTTTGAAAAGTCGGAATCAATAAAATTATATAATGTCAATTGACAAAGATGTCCGGTTGCTACTTCCGGAAAATGGCCGTATGATCCCCTAAACCCTTTCAACATTCACTGCGAACATCTTTACTTGTAGACGGTGGTCTAGCAAAATGTCACCCCTCGTATCGGGATAAACTGCATTTGCATGCATGTGACACAATGAATCGCATATATCCGGTGTTTGTTATGCATATTTTGTGCCTAGTTAGTATTTTTTTGAATGGCTGCAAAACCCACAAAACCTACTTTGTTCAAACTTGCCACAACTTGCTAGGAACAACACAAACACAGAATTAGGTACCCTTATCCCCGAAAATTGCAGTTCACGCGGAATTAATTTCCTTGATTTGAACAATGCGTGCATGCATTGGTTCCTGTTACATGCGTACTTGTAGTGCCATCTCGCAGGAACATCCATCCATTGGCAACTTCTCGGGAATTTGTGTTTGAAGGGTAGAGATGTTCTGTTACTAGGTTAGATGACTACCTCCACATTGGAGAAATTCAGCTACACTTTGTGTCTTTGGCGATTTGTTAATAAACGTAACATGAGGCTCATACAAAAAGAAAACTATAATGAAACGAAACAAACCCAAGTAGAAATTTGTTCCTCAAGGTATCAGATGTCATGACCATTCAATGGGGCTAGATGATTCCTCAGACAGGTCTATGGCTAAGGAATCTAAGTCAGGTGTAAATCTCTCAGTTACATAGCAGCAACAGCAAAAATCATGATCAACACCATCTTTAATAAATGCTTCTCTTGAAACTCTCCGGTGGTGCCTCCTAAAGCATCAATGGTAGGGTCCTGACTTATCGGACTTGACGCGATGCTTGCAACAGCTCCGGCAGTTGTCATTTTTTCGCTGTTGCCGATTGGAGGGTCCACTCGAGGATTTCCCGCAACTATAGGCTCAGCTTGAGGATTTCCGTCAACTGGTGTGTCGCCCTGAGAACTTCCGCTGGTTTTAGATTGAACACTTGCTTCAGCATATTCGGGTTTCTCTATTTGAGAAGTGGCTTCATTTAATTCTGAGTAGTTGATGGTATCCCCTTCGGATTCCTTACTGATCGGTTCACTTTCCGGGGGGGCATCTACTCCTGATGCTGCAGTCTGAGGCAAGCCAGGACAAATGCAAGGGCATTCAGAAAGTAATTGATCATCTATTGTCCCGCTGTATCTAATCACGAAATAATCATCTTCAATTACACCTTCAAATCCCCTAGAATTATACCCCGGCCCAAGATTTACTTCCAAGGTCTTTCCGATTTCGATTACTAAGGAATTGTATTCATTGAAACTAAAAGATGGATTGTCAATGGAAAACTTAATTTTCAAAGAATGTTGGAAACCGAAATTAACGACCGACATACCACCATTCGCCTCTTCTTCAGGGTATAATACCGACTTGTCTTCCTGATTATCCGAAAGGCAAATAATAGTTCCGAAATCACCGTTGTTAATGAAAACAGTATCTTGAAGAACATAGCAGCCTCTCCCACTGCCAAGCAAAGAATTGTAGAAGGTTGCACCTTTGGCACAAATTACCCCGTTATTTCTCGTAGAAGAACTTTCATATCTAATACGCTCCGGATCACTGCCAGAAATGTAGACCTCCCTCTCATTTTGTAATTGGTTAACATTAATCCGCAAAAGTCCTTCATTGTCTAAGTTCTGGAAAGTAAGATATCCTTCATTTCTAACGCTTCCAAGATATATGTCAAGTGTTTCTACACCAGCGGCTGTCATTATATGAAAATTGCTGGCAATATAAGCGTAGTCGAGACTGGCATTTTCCGGAACTATACTTGAATAATAGTAAACTTCTTTGTTAAAAACTGCCCCATTTATCGAAAGATTCTCGAGGTTAACAAATGAAAATAAAGCATTAAATTGAGCAAGTTCTTCCAAGGATAAGTGTGGACATTCCAACTCGAATCGACCGCCTACTTGAATTAAATCTTGGTCAAAACTTGAAACACAAGACTTAAACTGGTCCATCGTCGTTTCTGTATATGGTAGTTCAGCTTGTGAAGTTTCCATCTCATCGCTTGGTGCGATATTATTATCAATAGATTCATCCTTGTCCAATTCGTTGTTTTCACCTTCGTCGGTTGGATCAAAAAAATTAGCAAAAGATTCCTCCTGGGGTACTGAGTTTCCATCAACTTGAGGAGCAAACGGATCCGCGAATGTGGCCATAACTTGGAGTACTCCCGGCGCAGTCGTAGGAGGTGCGTCGGGACAAGCGCATGGGCACGGAGTATGTAACTGATTATAAATGATACCTCGGTATCGAATTATGTAAAACCCATTTTCCATCTCACCCTGAAATCCAGTGGCATTGTAACCTGGTCCAAAGTCAACTTCTAAACGCCTTCCATGTTCGATTACCAATATATCATTGTTTGTGTCATATGTAAAATATGGGAAATTACCAGAATATTCAAGTCTCAAAGAATGCAGTGTTCCAAAATTAGCAATCTTCATCAGTCCCATTGCATCTTGTTGAAGGAATATAGTTGTCAGGTCACCTTCAGTCAAGCAAACCACGGAATTCATCTCACCATTGCTGATGAAGGCGCTGTCTTGAAGAATAATGCATCCATTTCCTTCATCTCCTGTTCTGAATTCGATAGTCGCACCCTTGACGCAAATACTTCCAGTGTTATGGCTACCAGAAATATCAAGTTTTGTGGTTTCTTGATCACCAGAAATGTATACATCCTTCTTATTGTCAAATAATTGAAGATACACACCAAAATCTGCTTGGGTGTCTAAGTTCTGGAAGGAAAGGTATCCCTCGTTAAAAAAATAGACTCCATTGAATTCAAGAGGCTGATCAGTAGCGGCCACTACGTGGAAATTTCCATAGTTGTAGGCATACATGAATCGTACATAACCTGATGGGATTACTGTTGTATAAAGGTAAAATTCATTGTTAAAATCTGCCGAATATACTGAGACATACTCTGGGTCAATAAGGGAAAATACAGCATTATATTGGACCTTATCGTACAAATTAAGTGACAGTTCAAGCCGACCACCATTCTGGATAATGTCTTCGTTATAAACCAAGGCACAACAAGAAAGCTTGAGACTTGTGACCAATAAAACAAATATTAGGTTAGAAACATGCATCTAGTTGCAAATCTATATACTGATGAATAAATAAGGATGCAGGGGAGTTAGTCATTTTATGGACAAATGCATACTAAATATAATTCAGGGTGATTTCTGTATCAATTGCAACAAGGTCAATCAAATCTTGCATAAAATCTCCTTTTGAGATAAATGGTACATGGAAAGGATATCCAAAATATTAATGACATCTCCAGATTCATAAATTCAAGAAGCAAATAAAAATAAGTTTAAAATTCTTGGCTCCATTTATTCTTACCGTTCATGTTGTGGATGATTTTCAATTTTCCGGTATTTACTTAATTCTCCTAGCTGATTGGATGCCTCTCTATGTGGTGCCTTCTTTTCTGGTCC